GAGTTGTCTCTGAAAAGTTGGAAGTCTAAGTTTCTCCTGTGTGACGTGGTCGGGAAGGCCCTCGCTTGTGTGGGGGCCGATGCACTCGACACCACGATCCCCCGCACTCTCTGTACCCTCTATCCCGACTCGGATCCCCACCGGAGATCGAGAACTTCGATGCTTCCTGCCACCCCTCCCACAAGCCCAGCCCCCTCCTCGTCCCCCTATCAGAAGGCTGCCGTTCCCCGGTAACCCGTATGATCGGGGACAAAACTTACACATGCTACCTGGATAACTTCCACACTCTTATCGTACGGTAATTGGCAAGTGTAAGTTCGACATCATTTGCTGGTGTTTCCCCTCTTTCGAGGGATCGTTGGGTGTTGAGAGAGCAAGTAGGAGCTTGCTTGAGATTGGAACCCCCTGGGCGTCACATATGTGACGAGTTGCTTTCTGTAAACATGCGACTCTTTGTGTGGCTATACTTCCAGGGTTGAGCGGGAAGGGTCCGCCCAAGTACACGTATGCCCGCTTCTTTTGGAAAAAGGGTGGTCTCACGATGGTTGGTAATTGATCACGCCTTAGCGAGTGCGGAAATAATTGTTGCCATAGCTTCTTTGTTGTTATACTGTGAGGTTGGGAAATTTTGGCGTGATTGTCACTCGGGGAAATCTTTTTGAATTTTTAACTAATGTTGAGCCCACACGGGTTCTCAGAATTTCTTTTTGCAATTAGGATTTTAATTAGGTCAGGAATTTGGGTGTATCGTAATTCTGCCTGCAACTGCACGATGCTTCTTGCTTGCGAGCGCTTTGTCGCGCCAGGGTCTGTGCTTTGGCTCCTCTGCGCTTAATCCTGCGCGTAACTGTAATTCTCTTCTTGGCAAGTGCACATGTAACTGTAATCCTCTTTTTCTTGATATCTTCGTCTCGCCACTGCAAACGCATACTTTCCTCGATCTTATTGGCCTAAATGGTGCATGACTGAATCGATGCATGGAGAGTGGCTACATCCCCCATGCCGCGGCCTGGCCATGCAGTCTTAGGCACTTCCTCCCTTCTTCTTTCCTCCCACTCAGGCACAATGTCGGTTATCTCGTGCGGATGTTCATACTATAAATACTGCAGGCGCGATTAACTTGCTCTCTAATCAACTTTGGAGTTAGCGCGGTCGAGAGGATCGACTAACGGGCAGGATCAAGACGGTGAGTAGGGAGTTGGGCGATCCGACGGGCAGGTGCTGGGTATGCGGGGTTGACGCGTGGCTGAGAAGGACTGTGGCACAAGGGCGAACCTGGCTTGCAACTTCAGACTAAGCGGGGTGACAACTTTGTATGGGTAGTAGGTGTGAGGCGACGGACTGGCCGCATCGGGGTGTTGTAGAGAGAGAGAGAGAGAGAGAGAGAGAGAGAGAGAGAGAGNAGAGAGAGAGAGAGAGAGAGAGAGAGAGAGAGAGAGAGAGAGAGAGAGAGAGAGAGAGGGCGAGAACGAGATGTGTTGGAATTGTGTTTTTCTTCGACTCTTTTGCGCAATTTTGATGCATGGCGCAAACCATCTTTTCGTTCATGGTTATCTCGGGTCTTTCTTTTCTGTGAATTGATGAATGGTTGAGTTTATCCCTCCCCTGCTCCTCCCTCCTTCGAATTAGTTGTGGACTCGGTCAATTGATTGCCCGCACTCGATCTACGTATGCTCTCTGGTTAGTTCCTAGAAATGGTATGACGTGAGTGATTGGATGTTTTGATGCATGAGTGTTTGTCTTTTCCTCACTTTTTTCCTTCCTGTAATATGGATAAGCATGCCGATTGATTAGATGACTGCCTCACCTTGAGCTTACCAAGCGACATCTCTTTGCTGACGGGTTGATGTGTACTAAAAATTGTAAGAATTCCCAGTCTGATTGAAGGAAGATCTTGTGCACGCACGTATACGCCCGACCGAGGGAGGTCATCGCATACACGAGTTTCTACAGGATCTGCCCTTGATCAGACTGCCGGTCGAGCACCCCGAATGTATGGATTCCCACCCCACCACGCAGCATGACTATCGAGATTCCCTTCCGGATCACTGACCGCGAGTGTCCGAGGGATCACGAGTTTTGAGAGTATTGGGAACACATATGTTTCTCTGCACGCTCGAGGACAGAGCTCCCAAAGTTTTTGTACCCAACAGAAACCGAGCGCATCTGCGAGTGGGATATTGGGCGGGCCTTAGAACGTATTCCCCATTTCCCCGACTGCCCTAGCTCGTACACGTGTCAGGTCATTGTTGAACCTGGTATTGTTATCCTTGAAACAAAGTTTTGTCCCTATCACCGTCTATTGCCCTTTCACTGCCTGATCATTGCCCCTTGGCGTGCACTCGCCCCCTACTGGCCACAACCTCAATGTTCCGAGTGCCTGCGAGACCACGCCTATCGAGCATTAGGATTCATCCGACGAACCCGCTCGGAAGCCGAACAACGGGAACATAGCCTCCGGCTAAGGCCGGCCACGTCCGATTCTGAGATCTGCGAAACCCGCCGACGACGGTTGTTGTACCAACGGGACAGCCATAGCGTCCCGACGGTACATAAAATTCGAATCCATCCCAGGCGACGGGACCAACAGAGGTGATCGCCGCGTTCCACGAGGCCTAAAACAGAACCCTCGTCCTTCGCCCACCCGCTTGCATTCATATCCTTGAGACTTGACGCAAGAGATCTCAGTTCCGACCTGGGACTCCACCCCCATTTTCCTAAAATCCTTGGCACACCCCTTTTTCGCAATCCAGACCCACCTTCACTCCGAACTAGGAAGTCGCGCCGGGCGTGAGGTTAGGGCATCACAGCGCTGCGCCTCCACCTTTCGCGACACTTTTACGTTCTTACGAAAACGGAAAGAAGTGGGATTTGGCCCTAAGTAAAGAAGTGCGTACTCACACCTGGCAGCGCTATGTGTATTTGTCCTTATTCACCGGCGCACCTGTATGCATCTGGCTGCAATTGCGTGCAGAAATAAGTAAAGAAGTGCTCGTGTCAATCTTGCCCTCGGATACGGAAATAGGGCCTCGCTCCACTACTCTAGACCATGTGCAAAAAGAGAGTGAATCCGCTAGAATGGGGAAAGATACACCGCCATGATTTATTTTTTTTGTCTTTTGTGCATGTCGAGAGTAGTGAAGCGAGGCCCGCTTGGGCAGGCCAGTGTGATGATGAATATGTGATGATGAATATCTCAAGGCCGTCGCGCTTTCAGAACAGACGTAATACATGGGGGAAGGAAACCCTCGCGATTTTTTCTTTTTTTAAGACAACTCAATCATTCCTTATAAAATCGTTTTGAGGCCGGGGACCTCACAATTCGATCCGGGGTACTGACGGCATCAACCAGCTTAGCTTACAGGCCTGCGCCTGCAGAAAGTCCCCACTTCCAAGTTCCTAATCAGGGAAAACCGCTGCCTGCGGAACTTGATATAAAGTTGAACACACAGATTACCAATCTGCCTAGGAAGCTGGGTGAAACTAATACTAGATGAACTGAGAGTACACTGGCCTTCTGGATAATTAGAACCACCACTGGGTAAAGCACCTAGAACGGGGCCTAATCTAAACTAGTCTGGGACTAACTCGGCCCAGAAGACATTGTCCAATTCCTACCAGCACCCTCCTACCAGCCCACGGCGGCCCTGGTCAAGATTTCAGAAACGACCCTTCTCAGACTTGGAGACTAAACGACACATCAGGCAGGGTCTGAAACACGCCATCTGGCTTGATTGGAGTCGCCATGAACTCCATTGGTTCCTCCGCACTTGGGCGAAGATCAACAAACTGGCAGCTGGCAAAGGCCTGGTGATCTCAAAGTGGGTCCTGGATGTCGCACCCAGTAGAGGATAGAGGAAGTCAAGGAGGCAGATTGGGAAGGGGGTACTAGTGGGGTAGTTCACTGTTGCGAGTTCGGTGGTGATCTCTTTTTCTTTTTTTTTTTTAAGGCTAATTCTTGCCCAACCAATTCAATCACCTGTCAAATCTGGACAGGACGGCCTTTTTTATTGTCATTGTAGTATTACGGGGAACCCCGTAGCAGCCACATCCGTGCTCAAGGGCCTAGTTGCACTACTCGCCATCCGTCACATCCGTGCTCAAGGGCCTCCAACAAGGGAACATGCGGGAGCTGCACCCACCAGCAAGTGAGCGATACCGGCCAGGGGTCAGCCGGTAGCATTAGGACCGACCTTCTTCGATGGTGATCTCACGAGTTCGGTGCCCCTCGTTGTTGTTTTCGTAGTTCCGGAGCGGTGTGGCGAGGCCGTTAGCACATCGTAGGGCCAGTGATGAAACACCAAACGGCGCCCGTGGGGCCTGCGCCTGAAATAGCGTTTGCGGGGGGGCAGCAGGGCGCGATCGACCTACAGCAGCCGCACGGGGTAGAGGCGGAGGAGGGGGTGTGCGGCGCGAGTGGACGCACAGCGCGCGGGGCTCTCTCGTTTTTCCTTTTCGCTTCTTGGTCCCTTTTCGGGAGGTGACGAGAGAGTTACCAGAGGGAGGAAAGGGCGGTGGGACGGGAACAACGCGCAGGGCGGGGCCTGATTTTCGTGTGGTGGTGTGGGGTGGACGGGTGATTTTCAAACTAACCGCGCCGCGTGAGTTGTCCCGCGTCGGCCTTGCTTTTCACCTGGGCCGTGACGGAGACTGTATGGCTCCCTGACTCTCGTCCCTTTGTCTGAAAATCCTCGACCTCGACCTCTCCCTATTCACTCCCTCATCATCACCATAATCATCATCACCATCGTCCATCCGAACTGCTCTACAACCTCTTTCAACGAACTAAACTTTCCTCTTCTTCCTCAAACTTCACGTTGTGCCGTGCTTCTTCATTTGTCTCTCCGTCTCCTCTGTTTCGCGGCTCTCTGCGGCTGCGCTTTCGACTGGCCTGCGTCTACGTCTGCGTCTGCGTCCGTCTGCGGGAGCCCATCCCGCACGTTCCTTCGCTCGGTGTATCGCTTTTCGAACTCTCTCTGTGCATCGCCTGCTGGCGGACGGTCGTCTAGCACCGTTGCTGATCCTGTTGATCGTCGAGCACCGTTGCTGATCGTCGTTCTGATAATCTCGTCGGTCCTGATGGATCTGAACAAACTCTTGACGCAATACAAGACTCTGATCGGAACGTTGTTCGCAGAGGTAATTCATGTCCCTTCTCTCCTTCCCGCTTTTCACCCCCTTCCCCCCCTGCCCTCCCACGCTTTTCCGCCTTTTCCCCCCTTCTCCCCCCTTTTCCCCCTTTCTTCCTCCTTCCCCTTTTTCCCCTCTTCTCCGCCCTTCTTCTTCTTTGCCCGGTTCTCTGTTGTTCCTTGTTTATCTGTCTGTCCTGTCCTGTCTGTCTGTCTATGTCTGTCTGTCTATGTCTGTCGGTCTTTGTCTATGTCTGTCAGTCTCTGTCTATGTCCGTCTATCTGTCTGACGGTGTCTGGTCAGATCTGCTGTCTTTTGTTCTCCATCTACCTGGAGTACGCTCAATTGAAAGGACGCAGAAGATCCGCACGCAGGGGCGGTGTGAATGCGTGCAGGTGCGGCATGGGAAGGTCTCAAAGCTCGTGCTTGAAGATACAATTACCAGTATGTAGGCGTCGTGCCCCGTGTGTGTGTGCGTGCGCGAGGGTGAACTGTTGGCTGACGTATGCAGGGTGTGAAAATGAAACGGCGCACACGAGCGAACACATTCTGTCAAAGCAGCCAGCTGGGTGGGTTGAGATGGTTGTACCGCTTTTGCCTGCGAACGATAATCGAGAGGAGGAGGAAGTAGAGCAGGACGGTGCGTCGATTTCATCTCGTCTCGGTGGTTCTCGCGTATGGATTGCATTTGCGCGATCTCGCGGGAGGAGTTTTTTGGTCACTTCCTTCCCTCCATTCGCATCAGCTCCTCTTCATCCTCTTCTCTTCATCCATCCTTCCTCTGTGCGTCTGCGACTAGCGGAATCGGCGTGTTCGAACTCGCCGCGGGTGTTTCTCAGCCCTGAGCAGAATGGCATGGCAACCCAACGCAGGGCTACTCAACTTTGAGCGTGACAGTCAGATCCCGCGTCTGATCTCAGATCAGTTCCCATCGCCTCTCTCTCTCTCTCTGTCTCTCGCTGTGTGTATCTCTGTATGTTCGTCTCTTCCAGCTCTGTGTCTATGGCTCACTGGCTGTGTCTTACCGTTCCCCGTTCGCGGGCCTCTCAGTTGGATGAGAACCTTCCGCGCATGGCCAAGGACCATCCGCACGAAACTAGGGGGTCGCTCAGGCTTAGGGGTCGAGATTCGTGTAGTTATGATGCTTTCTGATCGAGATTTTGTCGCGGATTGTGAAGGGGTAATCAGAAGCCGCTCAATTCTCGGGGCCCGTACTGCGCCCTCCCTTTTCCCAGTCTCTCCGATTTTACGCCTTCCTGTTACGTTTGCCGTTCAGGATGATGGGCTGAGTCAATAAGTCGAGGTCGGTCAGGACTTAGATGCGTGCATCTTTACCGCTCCGCAAATCACGCCCCCTCTCCATCCAAGGCGGAGAGGAACTTGTTCCAGTTTCTCCCTATGGTAGTGGCAAAGTTGTGGTGTCGTGCCACCCTACCGCCTATTACACAGCCAGGGTCATATCTCCTTTCGAATTGCCATATTTCGTTGGTGTCAGTGGTATTAGATCCTCCCCTTTTCTTCCTTTCGCTCCTCCCTTACTCTCCTCCTCTCCTCCTCTCCTCCTCTCCTGCTCTCGCCGCTTAAAATGAATGGTTGACAGGACAGACATGCCACCGCGATTACTCAGCCTATGCCTCCCACTTTATCTCGGTGGCGAAGAGCCACCTTTCTCCTAGAACTCATTGCATACTCAGACCAGGACTTTCCTGAATGTATCTGATCGCATTTAGAGCCAGACCTGGGTGTAGTCTACCGCAGTTACGGCCAAGGCTCAGTCGACAAGGCCTAGTTGTGAGTATGCCCTGAGTGTTATTCTCCCTGTGCCGGAGGTCATACTTCCCTTCGTCTATACTACTTCACGGTTCCTCCCTGTGCCAGAGGTCATACTTCCCTTCTTAGTCTTTATTCCCTTAGGATTTTGTTCTCCCTACCCTCCCAAGACTACGATCTCTCTATGGTTTTACAGCCCATGTATACACCCGTGAAGAATGCATCTCATGATTAACCCCCCTATGGTTATGTCCTCTGTGATTTGACACGGAATGCGGATTTACTCCCGTGGTTATCCCCTGCTAAGGGTGAGGATGGCACCTACTTAACGTGACGTAGCGAGTGGGTGAGCAAGGCACGGACTTCACCATGACAGTGCCATCCACCCCCTCTGATTAGTTGGCTGATTAGCGGCAATGAAGGGCATCGTTTTGGGAGTTCCAAGCAGTCGTATCCGTATACATCCATCTGATGTAACAGGTGAGTGATGGCAGCGACTTCATCATGCAACTTGAGGAGAAATCTTCCTGAAGTTCCTTCCCCCTCCCTCCCTCTCCCTCCCTCTCCCTCCCTCTCCCTCCCTCTCCCTCGCTCTCTTTGCGTCCGACATGCATTTCATTTGTTTCTTTCGAGGTGTAGGAGTTTCTCGTGCTCTTCTTTTGTCCACCCCACCTTCGTTTTTTGTCTCTGTCCGTTTTTCGTGGGGGTTCGTGAGCATCAGTGTGTATGTAATACTATGTATGAATTGTTGTGCATGTCCTTGTTCCCATCATGCCATGCCGGTAAGGAAAATAGGAAAGAATCGAAAATGAGCTTGTAAATGAAACATGTGCTTCCGGTTGTTTTGTCCTTCGCTGGCAACATTGCCCAGGCGCGATCTAATGCATGGATGTATTCTGGACCACGTGTGATAACGACTAACGAACACCGATTTGCCATATACCTAGCATACCGTCTATTCGTTAAAAACTTGACTTTGCTATGAGGTCTCACGTTTGGAGGAGGCAACCTCATTGCGGGGTTTAGCAAACAACGAACAGCTTAGGTACTAGATCCTAGGATCGGGGTTAGGGTCGAAAGTCCTTGTGGCAAGCCGTTGGTCCCGATCTTCTTCTTCTTTTTCTTCTTTGTCACTCCCTCTCCCTCCTCTCCTCCTCCTTTTCCTACTACTACTACTACTACTACTACTACTACTACTACTACTACTGCACATGTCAACCTGGAGGGATCATAGCCGGGTTCTGAAGAATGACTACAGCCGCGGGGATCCAGTCGTTGGGATCGCGTTGTTGTTGATGTCATCATTGGGTAGCGGGAGAGAGCGTTCTTCAGATACCCTGTGGAGAATATGTGATGATGCGAGCCGCCGATTCGTCCCTCGTCTGGGGTTTTGCCATCGGGTTCCGGCTTACTGTCTGCTGCCTGACAGATGTGTTATGGTGCTCGGAATGCGATTAAGGCTGTAAATTCTGGTAGGTTCGCAGGAATAGGCATGATGATCGTTCCTTTTCACATGAACATGTCTCCCATCGTGTGGTATCTCCCTCTCCGGCGATGTTCTCCGAGAGGTACAGCGTATTGTCGCGTGCTTGGGGTGGGTGGAAACGGAAAGCACATTCAAGAGGCAGGGAGGTATCCGATTGGCTCTATCGGAAAACAATGTGACTCAATCCCGTCCACGATCCCGGGCCCATTTCCCTGGATTTTCCATTACTGAACTCTGGGTAGGCAACTTTTATAAATGCGGTTGGCACACCTGTAGGTAAATAGGTATAGGTTGAGAGAGAGAGAGAGAGAGAGAGAGAGAGAGAGAGAGAGAGAGAGAGAGAGAGAGAGAGAGAGAGAGAGAGAG